ATAAAGTTCAAATCTAATAGATAAAAAAATTGAAGAATGATGAAATTAAAAATAAATCTAATTTAATAAAATATCTCGTATAAAATAAATAATAATTAAAATAATAGAGATCCAATCTACAATCTGATAAATAAAAAAATTAAAAAATAATTAAAAAAATTATAATTTCATAAATTATTATAAATAGAATAAATAGAGTCTAAAGAGTGTGAACTACAGATAGAATAAATAGAGTCTAAAGAGTGTGAACGGGGTCTATTAGAAAAAAATTTAATTAAAAAAATAAATAACAATCAAAAGAATAATTGGAAAAAACAATTTAATTCAAGGAGTCACCATCTAATATTATGGTTACTAGAAACCCCAACTAGCTAATATAAATTATATGATACAGGACTGGTTACGTGAAAGAAAAGATATTATCACCATTTAAGTGTCTTACCTGAGACGGGCTACATTGTAAAAAAATAACATAAAACAAAATATATAATAGTAAAAAATTTAAGAATGGAATTTAATAAAACCAATAAATAATAAATATTTTTCTAGAAATCAAACTAATTTTTTTCCTATATTAATAAATAAACACAACACTTTCTATAGGACAAAGAAACATGGGACACCTTTAGAAACTTGAATACCATGACAAATTTATCTTAAGATACGAGCTCAACTCATAAAATCATAAAATATATTTTTATAGTTAATTGTATTTTGAAATGTTATTGGCTAAACAAAATCTTAATCAAGTTTTTATTTTAATTTTTATAATTAAGGTTGCGATTAAATACAACCTAATTATACACAAAACTCAATTATAAAAACTAATATTTCTTCTATTTTGTAATCTTTCTAATGGGTCCTATACCCAAACCATAACCTCTGTCTCTGAAACAAACACACACTAAGAACGTGGGGGCATTTGGCAATAAAACGATGTAAAATATAATTTTTAACCAAAAAAATTTAAATTTTTTAAAATATAGTTACACTAGCATTTCGAAACACTAAAATTAGATTTCAAAAAATATATATATTTATAACTAATCACATTTCAAAATGCTGTTAGCTAAACAAAACCTTGGCCAAGTATTTATTTTAACTTTTGTAATTGAGGTTATAGTTAAATACAACCTAATTATATACAAAATTTAACCATAAAAACTAATATTTCTTATTTTTTATAATCTTTTTAACCATAACCTCTATCTCTAAAATAAACACACACTAAGAACGTGGGGGCATTTGGGCAATACTTGTGTATTCCCCTTGAATAATTTCTTTCCATCGGAGGTCTCGGCTCTCGCACATTCGAACACAGAAGCTAAGAAGTCATGGATCCAAGACAACAAGCCACAGAAGTCAAGATCACAAAAGCAAAAGCATGGTAATACTTCCACGGGAGCTTCAGAATTACATCTAATCTGATAATGATGATATACATTTTCTTTTGTTAGGCTTGTCTATGTCAAAAATTGCAAGCCAAAGACAGATCCTCAAGCTTCAAAATGATTGACAGGCTGTGTAAAGAAAAAGCTTGTTGATATCGCAAGGTTAAGCCGCCGATATTAAAGGGCAGCAGTAATTAACACTTTGAGCAAAGATTAATAACATGCAGGGAGAAGAGTTCGGTTATGGTTATTTTTTTAAATATTTTTTTATTAAAATATTTTTTTTTATCTTTTTAAATTGTTTTTAAAATTAATAGATTAAAATGATCTAAAATATATTAAAATATTAATTTTTAATAATATTTTAAAAAATAAAAATAAAATTCACATATATTTTCAAACATTCTTTAACCGTGCGGGCGTGTGATCATTGGAGCCATCTGCGAGGCATAAAATGACATGACACCTACCCTAGAAGTTCACTGTGACTACTTTCACCATGGCCTCGGATCTTTGCCATAAATATAACAACTGCAAGTGCCTGCCTTGCAACCACATGGCAATCCAACAAGCATACTAATTGATTGCTGTGTTTTAAGGTCAGCACTAGATTTCCTAGCCTAGCAAGCAACAAGGTTGTCTACAACTCTCGCAAATCATACCGAGCGATTAAAGCATCCAATGCTGAGTTAAAGGGCTCAAATTCAAGTTGGTAGCAGCATCCGATGTTGTGTCATGACTTATCAATGAAAGTCCACCCCGAAAATGAAACGTTTTTCTTCTTCATGGAAGAAAACACTCAAATATTGAAGGGAGGGGGGGTATCGACCATTGCAGGCATGGACCTACACGCAAACATGCCCCGTTGGAACCGTTCTGGTGGTGAACAGTAACATCAGCAGTGGAAGGCAGCTGATCCACGTCTTCTTCTAATAGTGACAAAAGTCCATGGCAGCAAAAGGCCCCAACCAGGCGTGTCCCATTCTAGCACAGTGACTGATCAATAGAAAATATGGCCATTTGGGAAAAAGAAGAAACTCCACAAGGAAAAAAAAAAAAAACACAGCCATGCAAATGCGATGTTGTCACTGAATCATATCTCCGGCTAAGATTATATAACATGCCATGATTGACGGGCATTATTCCATAAAAAAACAAAGTGTTTTCTATTCAAGTACAAGAACCATCCACCTTATCACGTGGCTGTCTTTTTGCTTTGTTCAACCATTACGGTGCGCAACAGATTAAGGAGGAAGGAAGGGAGAGGAACCCGAGCCTGAAAGAGATTGGTTCAGGTGAATTTTGACATTAATTGAAAGAAAATGAGATCTCTAACTTCACTTCTACAATCAAATTTGGCCCTATGTAAATCATAAGCACATTCGTGTGCTAACCATCATGACAAGATCACAGGTTTTGATGTTTGCGTGTTTCAATCCTTTAGCTTGGACAAATGTAAGATTGCCCGAAACTGTGGCTTAGCTTTGTTGTTGTCGACAGAGAATTACTCCCCGATCACTATTCTTGATCTCTCATCCACAGAGACGGGAAATTATCCCCAGATCCTGCTTATCCAAGCTAGATAAATTAAATGCATGCAACAGTGCTAAAGTTTTACCCAGAGATTCTTCATGATGACAACTAACAAGAGTTCCACGGGAGAACTGCAGTGCCCAGCATCGTGGATGGAATCAGCAGAATATAATATTACCATTTATGGATTTACGACAGAAGTAAAAGTGGCATGCATAGTTGACGATATTTGCAGTAAAATCTCTAGGTTTAATGGATATGGATCCATGTCTCTTCTCCAGCTTGCAGTTCAGATGGCTTACATCAGACAACCTTTGTCTGCTTCTTGAATTATTGTAAAGGTTAACAGTTCCATGATGATATGACTATTTACCATAGAACTGCGTTCATGCTATGAATGGAATGCGTTTCAAGCAACTTTCTCCATGCTAGTCTATTTAGCGGCCTAGTACTGTAACTATCAACCTTTTTTTTATGGGCTCACTTCATTCCTTGTCATTGACATGTGGAATGCCGAGAAAATCCAAGAGAGCATACAACAGGAAAGATAGCATATCAGGGTGCTCGCCCTCGAAGATTACGACTGTAAAGAAAATCTTGAACTCTAAGCGCCGAAGAAATCTTGGAATTCAATATTATTATTCTCCTAATATATCTCATCTTCTCTAATACATAATACTGTTTATACGAGGATTTAAAACAGCTCCTGAAAGAAAACAAAAGACTCCGAGTCCTAGTCGGGAAAACTAGATCAACTCTATTTTTGTTGATCAACCTGTTTGTTTTACTAGATTCAATTCATTCTTTATTTTTGTTGAAACTTAGTCCAACCTAAATCTTACAGTGGTCTGAAGCATGGCACAAAATCCCATCTGTCTGAACTCGCAACCAATTTCTTTTTCTTCTTTATTAATTTTCGAGAAAGGCAAGCAAGCTAAGAATCTTTTTCCTTCTCTTTCGCTGTTTTCTTAATTTCATGGCATCGTGAAATTTAAGCCCTGGTTCTGTGTAATATTCATTCGAAGGATTATTGCCGAAGGCATAAGCGATGGATATGTAATCTGTGTGCCTCAGAAGCTTTACGAAGAGTCCAATTTATCATCTGGCGTCTTGAAAAGGATAAGAGAAAGATTTCTTTTTTCTTGTAAATACAGAGACTTAAATAACTTTATTTAAACATATACACAGAAGGATATGAATATTTATTAGATATATTTTGCTATCATAAATATAGAGTATTGAAAGCTGTGTTGGGTAATAAAAAAACTATTTTTCTTTTTCATTTTTCTTTTTTAGTTTTATTTTTCTAGTGGGGAATTAAAAAATATGTTCATTTGTTTAAAACGCATAAAAAAATAAATACATCAAAATTATAATTATTCTTCTTAAAAAGCATAAATCATTATATTGATCTTAATATTAATTTTATTTTATTCAAATTAAGAATTATCATGAAAATGCTATATTGTTAACTAAAAAAATATTTATATTATATTTATGGTAAAGATTAAATATATGACACCAACTAAATATAAAAATATATAAAAAATAATTTTAATCTTTTACCTTGCTAAAAAATGCTTGTGTGTGTGTGTGTATATATAAATTATATTCTTCATGTTTTTTTTGAAAAAAAGTGAAAAGCTTGTATTGAAAAACTATGAAAAAACTCTAAATATATTTTTCAAATTCAGTAAAAAATTATAAAACTAAAAAACTAGTCTTATAATTTTATAAACAAAAAAATATGACATTTGAATAAATAATTTTAGTTTTTTTTCCAAATATAATTTTTAAAATTAAATTATTATTATTTTTCCAAAAAAATTCTAATAATTTCTCAAACTAGATAATCCAGGGTTGATTTTTTTTTTACATACCCTAAAACATTTAAACCAAATAAACATTTAAATACCCTAAAACATTTAAACCAAATAAACATAATTTTCGTGAGATAGAGTGTAAAACTGGCTCACAAGCCCATAATAAGATAGCCCTCCAAAACGCCCAGGCCCAATTAAATGTTTTTTGTTATACAAACGCACAGAACAAAAACCTAAACAAAAACCACAACAGAGAGAGAGAAAATTGAGGAAACTCTAAAACCCCTAAAACCCCAGAGACCGCCACCTCTCCACCTTACTCTCTCCGGCATCACCGTTTCAGGTAAGCCTCTGCTTCCACTCCTCTTCTTTTGTGTTGTTAAAAACAGAGTGTAAAATAAACCATTCTAAACTTCAAATTTTTAACTCATAATCCCATATGACAAAAAAAGTTTTAATCTTTCTTTGAATTCATGATTGGAAGTTGGTATTGGGTAAATGGGTTTGAAGAGGGATTTACAATGATTCTCATAAAAGTCTGTGGTGGGTATGTTGGTTTATGTTGAATGGTTATTTGTTAACTATATAAGCTATGAGTTGTGAGAATGAAAAGGTTATTAGTGTCGCTTGTCACTTTAAATTTTTCGCAGGAGTATGGTGTCCTTGAATATCAGAGACCTCTTGATAGCATTTAGTCCTTCATTGGACTACTTAGCAATCAGCTCGGGAGATGGTCGAATAAAGGTACTCGATTCCCTTATCTTTGAATTCTGAAAATGCTAGGGCTTTTGAAAATTGAGATTGATAGTAGAATATGTTTTCCGACAATGCTTCGCTATTGAATTTTTGGCCAGCTTAGTGCTATTTGTGTGATAATATCCTTTGTCTGATAAAGGAGGTTTTTCTTCTTCTTCTTTTCATGTAGGAACTACTAATCTTTCCTTTTCCTTTCAGATCTGGGATACACTAAAGGGCCAGGTGCAAACTGAGTTTGCGGACATAACATCAAGTGAAGGAGATTTTTATGCTAAACCTGAAAGAGGACACCTTTCGGTTGATTATAAATGCATGAAGTGGTTGTCTTTGGATAAGAAGGTTAAATATAAAAGTTGCTTTGTAATTGTGCTACTAAATGTTTGATCTTTGCTTCCTACTATCTGAAATAACTCTGTGCTCAAAACCATGAGTGATTGCAGAAGAAAAGGAAGCTAGGAAGTTCATTGTTAGTGTTAGGAACGGGCAGTGGTGATGTTTTGGCACTTGACGTGTCTGCTGGTCAGTTGAAGTGGAGTGTTAGCGATTGCCATCCTGGGTGAGTTCCTTGCTGAATAATTATTATGTTGTCATGCCTTTTATCATTTATGAATTGGAACCACACTGTTCCTAGGTTTTTCTAAGCATCAGTTTTCAGAATTGCCACAAATAGAAAAAGAACAGTAAAAGTTGACTTGTAACTTTAGATTTAATAGTTTTCTTTCTCTGATGTGCAGGGGTGTCAGTGCTGTTTCATTTTCTACACGTGATTCGTGCATTTACACTTCAGGTGCTGATGGAATGATTTGCAAAACTGATCCACATACAGGAAATACTCTGGGGAAGTTTAGAGCTTCTACAAAGGCGATATCCTGCATGTCTGTTTCATCAGGTATTGATCGTTCACTCCATTTCTGTTACTCTTGCTTTATGGTTGTAGGGAAACCAAACATTTTCTCTGTAATTTTTTTCACTTGCTAATTAGTTATTTTTATGAAGTGTAGAATCTGGAAAATTTATGCCAAGGTGTACTTCAGGAAATTAGTTGTGAATGATTCAATTTAACTACGGTCTGGGCATTTGTTATTTTTTGGGTTGCTAATCATCAATGAAAGATACTCTCTTTAGAGTGTGTTGGAAGTGAATGCTTTGTGAACATGCACTATTTACTGCTTTCTAATACTTTTGCTGGGATTCACATTCTGAATGTCAGATGGGAAGATATTAGCAACAGCAGCTGCACAGTTGAAGATTTTCAATTGCTCTGACCACAAAAAGATGCACAAGTTCTCTGGTCATCCTGTGAGTGCTTCCATATTCCTTTTGTACTAGGTTTCTATGCAGAAGATATGTTCCTGGCACTATATTTCAGTTCCATTCAGTTATCTTCCTTGGCTTTCTATGTTCAGCTAAATCAGTCTCTCTCAATATTGACAGGGAGCTGTTCGCTCCATTGTCTTTACTGATGATGGAAAATACATCCTCTCTTCTGCTGTTGGTGAAAGATATGTTGCATTGTGGAGAATAGATGGTAGCAAACAGCATTCAGCAAGCTGTGTTCTTGCAATGGAGCACCCTGCTGTATTCATTGATTGCAAGTGCTTTGAAAATGAGGGAGTTGATGATGCAGGCCTGTATGTTTTGGCCGTTTCAGAAACTGGTGTTTGTTACACGTGGTGTGGAAAAAATGTTGATGAATTACGCAATTCCAAACCCACTAAAGTCTCACTATCTTATGATGAATTTCCCAAAAATCACAAGGGTGCATTACCAACAGTACTGGCTGCAAAATTTCAAGGCACTGCCAAACCTACAGCTGCAAATGTGTTTATTGCCTATGGTTTGCTTGTAAAGCCTTCATTCCAGAAAATATTAATGCATCCTGGGACAGACATTAAGTTAAATAGTTCTCAGGATGGAGTTCTGCTTCCACTGAGTCAGTCTCTCAGCAACTCTAAGAAAGTCAGAGACTTACAAAATCGAGGTAACTCTTGACTATAACTATTTATATTTTTGGATTAGTCGAAATATGTTGTGAGAGTTATTAGTTTTAACACACTATCTTGGACATCTCTCTGTAGACAAACTCTTCTGATACTGACACCAACTCTGGACAAAAGAATTCTAAAAATTAGTTTTTGACTTCTTTGATACATTCAGTTGAACAATGATTTCCTTTTGCCTTGTCTGACTGTGTGCTTAGATCATTTTCTATATCCTTAACAGCCCTTGCTTGCCATGTTGACTGATGAGGCAAACCCTTGTGGCAGAGCCCTCTGTCAAAATGTTCTTAGTTTTATATTTTGTTGATTTCAGTAGTTATGGTTTGCTTAGACAGTTGATGTTTTTTGCATCCTTTGAAAATCTGCTTCTTCATCTGTTTCCTAACATGTTCTCTTCATTATGCTAGCTCTTGCTTGATGTTATAGATTCCTCTTCTGATAGTTTTTAATTCTAATGTCATTTTTATGTGGATTGTTGGTCTTGCATGGTTGCTAATCACTTTTCTATGAATTCAACAGTTACTGCACTAGACCGTGCCAATGTGGAAGATGCCTTGCTTCCTCTCCCAAAAGTTTATGATCTTCATGAGAAGAAGATGAGAAATATGAATATCGTTGACCATGATGAGGTCATGGAAGAACCTGCTGAGAGCAAAGGTACATCTATTATTTTCCAGAAAATTCGGATTATGTATATGAATGCACCTATGTTGGTTCATCTCTCTATTCCGGGTAGTTTTTTTATTTTTATTTTTTTTTATTGTTACATCAGATCACTTTTTTGGGACTGTAATGATTGCTTGGTTTAACCTTTATTTTTTCTTTTGATAACGACTCTGTCTGGATGCTTGAATATGGGGAATCTTATGATTTCTCCCTTTTTCTTAACTTGCATCATATGATTCTTTTACTTCATTTCATTAAGCATTTATCTACAATATGCGTATTCTTTATCACATGAGCCAATGAGGATACTGTTGCAACTGAGTAATGGATAGCTGTAACTTAATATAATATATCTTGAGAAAGAGGAAAAAAGTAGATGAAATGGAATGCAAATTGTAAAGTGAGAGAAAATGAAAATAATGAGCAACTGATAGTGAGGAAAATAATGTACAAATAGAAATGATATGAGAGAAAGTAACAGAAAGGTCTATCCTCAAGAAGCCAAGAACTGTTCTGAAAAGTGTCACAAGTTTTGTGCAATGATTTTGCTTTTCAATATGAAAATGTGTGTGCTAAATAACAATATATTTCTGTAATATGTAATGGGTAAATCGACATTATATTGAAATTGTTCTATAGCCATGCTGGCGTAAGTAATGTGAAGACATACTTTTGCTTCAGAGTTACTACTGTGAAGTTCTGGTTTAATGTGAGTTGTTTTGTCAATTCTTCTGTGTGCTCTTATCTGTTTATTATGCTGGTTTCTACAGATGTCATGGTAGAGGTTGATGCTGTAACAACTGGCATGGAGAAGCATTTGAGATTATTGAATATACTTGGTAGTAAAGATGATGGTATATTGACCCCCACTCTTGATTCTGCAACACTTAAAGGTATTAAACTTGAAGACAATATCCCGCTAAAGAAGGTTTGTTCTTCATCTAAAGGCAGTTTTGGTTTTTTTTTCCCCATCCAAATTATGTTCTTGTTTTCCTTCATGAATATTCTTCATTTGTATTAGTAGCTGATAATTTTCTTTTATCAGATGAGGGCAACAGTTTTGTCTATGGAACCTAGCAATGCTTACAAGTTACTGGAAGTCTTGGTGGCTAAGTGGCAATCTAGGTTTGCTCTTACTTTTCTATAATTGTGTTGACTCTCAACTTCTAATTTATTCTTATTGTAGACTTATTTAAAAGGCAACAGATAATTCTATGTAGGACATAAGGTTCTGCCAAGAAGAATATGTTGATTGATCTTGTTGCATCTTATGATATTTATGAAGGACTTTTATTCTAGGAATCCATCATGTATCCATTCACTAATTATGGAGGAATTTCAAAACTGTGGTTGTCTTCAACAGGTCAAATAGTGGAAAGTGTGTTTTACCATGGATATACTGTATATTGGTCAATCATGGTCAATATATTGTGGCTCAAGAAAAACCGGAGTCCCAGATGCTTAATTCCTTATTAAAGGTATAATAATGTGAAAGTGTAGGCATATCATTTGTTTCTCTTGTCATGCTTTTATCTTTGCTGTGAAGTGATCTTGTTGCGGCTGTTAGCTCCTTTTGCCCCTTATCTCTTTCCCTATGTTTCATATTCATGGTAAAACTTTACCGCTTAAAATTATATACACTATCATAACTTGTTAGCTTTACTTTTGTTTATAGATGCTTGGACTTATAGATTGTAATTAACATTTGTATTCAAATTCTTGTACAACATGGCTTGTTCTGTTAGTGGCTCTAACTTCTAAGATGAAAGATGTCAAGCCAAAATAGGTTGTGATAGGTTGAGGTTACTAGTAATGTAGCAAATTGGTCAGAGACAGCCTCTTTGTTTCTGTGGTCTAGACCAACTCTGGCCATTGTAACATGTAGACCAGGCCAACTCCAAAGCTGATCTTATTTGCAGGGGCCTTGTAATAAACATTCTGGTGAAGCTATGTCGAGTGACTGAGCTTTGTTATCATCTGGGGGGGCATTACTTTGCCATCTGTGGTTTTTCTCCCATGATATGGTTGGTTGGAAGGACATGAGCACAGGGCAAAAGAGGGAAGAAGAAGAGATTGGTACTTCCACCATCTCTATGTAGAGAGGAGGGAAAAGAGCTCTTCCTTCCATACAGGTCCATCACATGCAATTTGTCCAGTTTAAGCATCTAGAAATAAGGCGGCTTTCATCTCCAATCCCATCCCTTATCCCATTTTTCTTTTTTCAAAGGTCCCAGTTTATAGAGACTGTTAGAAAAGGCGTTGGATTATAATGCTGTTGCACCAGACCTTCGTGTCATATTATTTTCCTGGCAGACTCAAATTATGTTCTATTCTCTCAGATCACCAAATCAAGGGCTGTGGCTGTTCAACCTTTGTTGCAATTAGCAGGTCGTTTGCAGCTTGTAACAGCACAGGTTCCAAACTTCTCTATGTTGCATTACTTTGATGGTTTTAATAAGGTCTGTCTTTATTTAATTTGTTGTCTGTTTTCTCTTAACAGATTGACAAGGTTGCACTGAGCAAAAACCCTATCTCATTGCATAATGATGAAATGGACGATAATGAGGATGATGATGATGTCGACGAACATCTTTATGGGGAAGAAGATGATGAATCCCAGTTAAGTAGTGATGATGACAGCTAGCTGCAATCACCATACCAGGTAATCATTCTTGACAGAATTTTATTTGTCTACCTATGGCCAAACTTTGAGTGATTAGAAGATGACTGATTGGATGGTGATGATAATATAGAACTGCACAATGGTATGGTTGCATTAATGTGGATGAGAATTTACATGTCTTTTGGAAGAAGCACAGCTAGTTATATGTATGTTCATGTTTAAAAAATTCCCAGATGGAGTTTTCACAATTTGCTTAAACTTCCAGGTTGATCATAAAAAACTGCAAGATTTTTAGTTCTCAAAATTGTTGGTGGAGATTTGTCCGTCTTGACATTTACCCCAAAATTTGTTATCATGAAGGTTTCCCAGTGAGAGTAGTGGCTTGTTACCCAGAGAGGCATCTTCTGGCGTGGGCTTCTATCATTTTGGTTCAGTCTAGCCACAGCTTTTTTTGGTGCATATCCGAAACTGATCTTCAACCTTTATAGAGTACAGCAATACTTGTTTCCTTCTGTACCTGCTTATTCCTCTTATCTTGTTTTCGCTCTATGTTTTTGTTTAGAAATGATCATGGTAAGCCTAGGTGTTACGTTTCTAATTAACTTGTTTTATTTTTTTTCTTCCATTAGCAGCCCACAAGTTTTTTCAAATGTATTATACTTGTTGTAACATGTAAACAGGCAATGACTGCTAGGCCCCCTTTCCTGATACTATTACATAACCTGAAAGCCAATTAGTTGAGGTTTCATCTCCGTTAGTTCTTCATGAGTTTTATATCTGCATCTTGTTTGCATCTGTGGCTGAACATGCTGACATCTCTCTGCATTGTAGAAGAGTGCAGTTGATCTATACTGCAGAGTTGATTTTAGCTGACGAAAAAGCTATGCACGAACGTTTTAGGCTTACCTGTGTTTGATAAGAACGTTTCTACTGAATTAGCGACTTTTCCATGCCCATGAGAATGCTAGTAGCCAGGAATTACGTAGTCTATAACAGTGAATATGCCACTCTTGTTTCATATTACTGATTTTCGTTTGTCTAGGAAATCAATAGAAAAAAAAGATCATTTTTGTGGTTCGAGCTTCTGATCCAAATCATGGACAGCAGCTGATTAGTGCATCTAGGAGAAAGTTCTCGAACTAAAGTACTAACCATCCTAGAATTGGCTACTTAGGGTTATTACCTGCGCGACGCTGTGCTCAGATTTCAAGCTAAGTTGCAGCACAAGAAGAAAGCTCCAGTGTTGTGTATGTGTTTTCCATTATTATAAACTTTTTAATTGAAAATTAAAAAAAAATGATGTTTTTATTTTAAAAAATATATAAATTGATGAATTGTAAAAAAAAAAAAAAATTCAATGAAAAAATTATGCGAGCCCCCCTAACGAAGCCGGTTCCAATCAATGCGTAATGATCTGTATTTAAACTAAATGATAGGGGTAACTTTTTAATTCTTTTATTCAATTTTGTGACAATAAAATAGATATTAGTAAGAAAAATAATGATTTGAATAAAGGGAAAAATGTATTTTTTCTGTCAAATTTTTCTTCTTTTTTTTTTTCTATTAAAAAATATGGTTTCTTAAATAAAATTTTTTTCCTATTAAAAAATATGGTTTCTTAAATAAAAAATGAAGGCAATTAAAATTAGAACTTTGAAAAAAATCGTATTGATTTGAAATAAGAAGTAAAAAAATGTATCTTTAATTCTCTTTTATTATCCTTGTGGTTTTTTTTTTTTTAAAAAATATGGTTTCTTAAATAAAAAATGAAGGCAATTAAAATTAGAACTTTGAAAAAAATCCTATTGATTTGAAATAAGAAGTAAAAAAATGTATCTTTAATTCTCTTTTATTATCCTTGTGGTTTTTTTTTTTTTACAAAAAATTATCTTTTTTTTTATTGTTTTTAAATCTATAATAAAAAATAATTAAATAGATATTTTATTTGCTGTTCATGAGGGGATTTTTAGAAAGAATTAAACATATTAAGTTAATATTATCATAAAAACTACAATATTATTTGAAAAATATGCCATAATCGAACAATTATTTGAATGAATTTTTTTCAAAGACAATCATTTTATAAAATATAAAAAAGATAACCTACCATCCAAGTGAAAATGAGGGATGGAACTATAGCTTTCTGCATCATTGGAACAACTAACGAGTGAAATGTCAATTTTGATCATTGATCTTTCAGTTGTATATTTAAAAACAACATAATCATCAATTTCCCCAATTCTTTTGGTTTATTAGTAGAAGAATCATCTTTCCTTCAATGTCATGGTTGGACATGGTGTATAGAATTAGAAGTGGAATATATTGATATGCGTTTAGAGAAGCATGCACGTTTTCTTTTTGGTTGACGGGGAAGGCACTTGGAAGCATATTTTCAACTTTCTAGCGTCCCTATGCAGATGCAGAGGTTGTGCAAGCTACGGCAATTGCAACTACTGGTGGAATACTGTTTTTAAAATGGAAGGCCGAGAGCACAGTAGTAGAATATATAATTAATTCTTAGCAGGTTTCTTCTAAAGGATCTGAATAGCACAAGGTATGTTTTTCCTCTTAGAGCTTTGAAGTGGAATGCAGAATCAGTTCTTTCCGCACAATACAAGCTTGGAATCTCATTCTCCTCTCGAAACGTGTTCACATGCATATTGGAAGATGATTGGTGCCATTGGATTCTATTATTTTTCATATGAGTCTCCTCACATTATTCGGCAAGCATTTGGATTCTCATCGCTAAACATAGATGTAATGTTTCCATTACTACTGCGACTGTTGTCATGATAATCCTCATTGTAGTGGTCCATCCTACTGTAAATTGTGTGGTGTGGTGGTGGTGGTCGGAGATATTCATATTCAGTGATATTCGGTGATGGCCTGTATGTGTTGTAGCTGTGAGTCACGTAGATGGGCTTTGGCGCCACTTGTGGGACTCCTTGGCTAATAGGGTATCTGTTCCAGTTACCGCCATAGTTATGACCATAAGCATATCTGTAGCCATAGTCAGGTGGGTGATGGTATACAACATGAACCTCTCCTGAATCTTTGGGTCCAGGGGGCCTTTGTGGCTGATTTGCGTTGGTTTCTTCGGCAACAGGTGATGGATCCTCCCCGGGTGGTGGCGGGTTCTCAGGTTGTGGTGGATCTTTTGGAGGCTCTGCTGTTGGCGGTGCTGTTTCAGCTGGTGGAGCTTCTGCTGTGGGAGGATTTTCCTGGTCGGAGGCCGGTGGTGGCGGTGCCCCACCTTCAGGTGCTTGTTCGGGTGGTTTTTCTGTTGTCTGAGCAGCAGGATCTGGTGGTTCAGAATGGGAACATATGGTGGCTATTTTCCTAGTTTTCCTAATCGCCTTGATAATTTTTTCGGGATCTGCCCACCCAATGACTGTCAGCTTCTGCTGTGGGAAGTCAATGTAGAGATCATATATACCTGAGGAAAACGAGAACGAAATTAGATACAAGGAAGTTGAAAGTGAAAGCCTAGATGATAATCTGAAAGTGGAAGAAACTAGATTGGAGGATTTATCAAGTTACATACTGATTGCTTACCATTGATGCCATGCAATGCCTTCTTGATCTTCTGCACACACCCATTACAGTCCATTCGGACTTGTATCTCTGTGACTCGAGGTTTCTGCACACGACAAGAGAAGAAAACCGAATGGTCAGACTATAAGATGGCATATATCAAAGCTTAGATGCTAGATGCTCATGCATGTTCTGTGTGGAGTACCACCTCTAACTCTGGAACCATTAGGCATGAATGGAGAAACCAAGAGATAAGCTTTGTATGGGATGGAGAGAGGGTCGAGAGTAAGAATGAAGAATCAATAGGCGGCATTTATGTGTGCAGAAGGAGGGAATATTTGAAAGGCAAAAGGGTGTGGGACATGAAAAGAATCTCCTTTCCCTCTCTGGGAAAGGAAGAAGATGACATTTGCTGCATTGTTTACCTCTTTAGGAGTCATTGTCAAATGCTAAAGAAGGGAAGAGAGAGGGCGTTGGTAGGGTTTCAAGTAAGAGGCCGGTGTTTTTGTATGGACCTTGCCAGAGGGAATTTGCTTTAGCATGGATGGCTATCTGTAGCAACTGAGAGATGTGCACGCATGCAGTTAGGATATCCAGACCGACCATTGAAAAGAATTAAAGCAAAGAGCAGATGATCGACCTAGTTTGATTTGATCATCTTGGGGTTCATCATCATCAAGAAAAATCATCAAAGTAGCTTTTCTAGGTGTAAGGATATCCACTATCAAGGAATCCTTTAGTCACAAGAAAAGATGACCAAGGCAAATAAAAATGACAAATTGTTGTTTATTATTAGGGTTGAAAGGCACAAAGCCACCTTCATTTTAGTCAAAGAGGTTGATAGAGACACTGAAGAGCAGATTCCCTTAATTGAGGTTATGAACAAGTGCCATTAAAGTGGGTGGTGGGGTTTTCCCCTTACGTACATGCTTTTATACACCATTTAATCATTAGTCATTGTTATTAAGCTTAATTTAAAGGTTAATCCAATAATTTATCAATTCAAAATTTAATTTAATTTTAAATCTTTCAAACAATGCTTCAATTATATATTTTCATTCATAATATTTAGAAATTTGACTAATTGAAATAATAAAATTTTCATCATCAATACTATAGTTCTGGTAGTCTCAATATTTATAAATCTAAAATTATATTTATTAATTAAAATTAATTTTTTTAAAATTACTAATATCATAATGGGAAAACTTAATTTATATTGAAAAGTTATTCTTCCATTAAGCTTGATATTTCTTGATAAATAGATCCCGCTATGAAGAGACCCCTTTAACATGACAACATCGAACTCAACGAGCCCACATTGTGGGTGAATACCCGTGTCTTAAGTGCATGTTCTTGGTTAATATCTAACAACTCATAAAATTAAAAAAATAAAATAAAATAAATTCATTAAATAAGCTATTATTTATTTCATCATAAACACCTAAGTCTCAAATTTATATTAGATTTCATCAATTTACAAACAAATATAATTTTATAAAATCTCAAACAAACCCTAACATGTACAAATCATACACATTCATACAACAAAATTCTATAGAAAAAAGCTATAAAACAAGTAAATATAAAAAAATACATATATTACAAAAATATACAATAAAAATAAACATTTTAAAATTAAGTTAAAATAAAAAATAAGTAATTTTACTTACTTGAAGTGAGGAATCCTTAACAAAATTTAAATTATAATAAAAATACTGACAAATTGATTGTTGGAATTACTGAATTTGTTGTGGAAGAATGATTTGTGATAATATAGAAGGGGTTATGGTGTTTATTGAGAGATATTGTGAAGATATATTTTTTTAGAAAAACTCATCGCAATCTACTAATAATGAAAATATTTAATCAGTATATCTGTTTGTATTTATCATTTTATAATATATCTCGGTGGAATTATTGAAAAAAAATAAGAGTGGTGAATAATTTTTCACCTCACTTTTAACTCAAACTATATTTTTATTTTTAGTAAATTTGAAAAATGACATATAGAATATACTCTAATAAAAAGGAGGGTATTTATTATACCCGGTCATTTAAATTGAAAATAAAATTTCTAAGTAGCGTTGTTTGGTTAGTGTTATATAACAGTGGAAATAAATATGTGTCTTCTCTATCTTTTATACATTTGAATAACAAAAACTCACTCTAAAACTCAATGTTTCCAAACACGTTATTATTATTAATTTATCTGATA